CAAAAATATATTTTATATCTAAAAAATATTTTGAAGTGAATATATACATTTTTTCTCTTTTTTTTTTGTCACTGTATACCCAGTGGCATAGATTGGGTGGGGGGAGAATTTGAAAATCCCCCAATGCCCCACTTGAAGGGGGCTCCCATATGATGTTTTTTTTACATTAAAAATTAAATATAATGCTAATTGCAGGGGCCCCCAAAGAGGTAAAGCCCCCCAAATGATGGAAAATTCCTAGCTATGCCCCTGTGTATACCTACTTTTGCACCCCTCTGTATAACTCCTTGCTATGTTGTTATTCAGTTACTCTTGATAGTTGGTATTCCTAAATTAAATTAAAGTCTATAACCTGTATGATAAGAAGATCTTGTGAAATTGACCAATCATGTTCCACATTTTGCCAATTTCGTTATTCTTGCAGAATGAATTTGAGTTTTATTTTTAATACTATTTTCTCTTATTTCTGAAAAAAAAAAAGCTTCAAGAAGTGAGTGATGCAGCCAAGAAATCTTTTGAAGCTAGTTCTGAGCAGGCTAAAAAAGAAGTAAGCATGTCCATTATTGTTTTTTCTTTTAATTCATTTTATTGTTCAAAATATTGACAAGATTATCATTTAGAGCGGATCACTTTGGTTTATCTTGTATGCAGAATATAAGAAATGCTGGGGTTGAATGTATTTCATAAGGTTTGCAATAATTATTTTTGGACTTTATGGAGCTGTTAAATCAAATTTTTAAGCTTTTTCATTTATAGCGCAAAGTATGTTTTATTTCTCTTGTTTTTTTTTTAAAATGTTTTTCTTTAGGTTTCCTTATAACACTGCCACATTTCTTCATGTGGCTTTCTTTTCTTCTTCCATGTTTCTTAATTTTATTGTTTATGAATGTTAACCACACCTAATCACCATACAAAGAAGAGATTCCTGTTTTAAAATATTAATTCCGTTGTTAGCTTTAAATTCACCAATTAAAGATCCAAGATGACAGTTTGTCAGATATCAGTGTTCTATGATATTTGCTTGCATGGTACAAAAGATTAATTTGAAATCTTAAAATCCCTGTTCAAAATAATTTATTTCAGTATTAGAACTAAGCATATTTTCATCTGCATATTTTGACCTATCATCGGGAAAGGGGGGGGGGCTGGAGGAGAACTAACTGAAAATCATTTAAACTTTTGATGAGAAAATAAAAAGTGCCAGTCCAGGGTGGGGGGACGACTGATTGCAGCTGAAGGAGTTGTGACCACGCAATAAATGTTTATGATCGAATTATTGGGGACCTTCGGACAAAGGGATTATTAAAGAGTCAATCACTCAATTTAGTTAAAATCCTTGCCTTTCTTAATCCTTGCCTTTCTTCAAAGGTCTCAAGGGCTCTTGGCTAAACTTTTTTTGGGGGGCTTTATACAAAGTTCTCTTAAGGGCTGCCTTGGCACACCGCTCTAAGTGCATGGGAAACCTTTGTCATGTGGTCGAGAGGCCAAGTGTGTTTGAGCTTGGCTTGGCTTGGCTACCTAGAAGGGGGCTTGAGGCTCGACACCCGACTCGGGCAGAGTTATGTTTACTGAGCGCCTAAAGGCAGCACAGAAAACCAACTCCTAGATACCCCTTTCTCCCCCCCGGTCCACAAATGAGATTGGACCGAAAGCGCTCTGAGCATGCTATAAGCATGAAAGTAGCGCTATATAAAATCTATAATAATAATGTGATTGTCTCACTCATGTCTAAAGTTGTGGTTATGGTTTGAATTATTTTGCACATAGTATATTTTAGACCATGTTGTGCCCTACTTAATATCTTATCCAGTACAGCTGTAAGATCTCCTTTACCTACAGAAGATTGGGTACAAATCTTCTTTTTTGATAGAATGTCACTTTTCTAAGAGAAAGTCTTCAATGCAAAATAGCTTTTAGAAAAATGTTTGGGAATTTCATTCCATGAAAAGATATAAAACCTGCAACACTTTTTCCTAAATTTTTTTTTTCAGATAACCAGCTTCACACAGCTTCGTCTGCTCAATTCTTCTGAGGCATTGTCCAAATATGCAGAGATTCAAATGAAGATTTCACAGGATTTTTACTCTCAGCTCTTTCATTCTCGCAAAGCTCTGTTGGAACTGCAGCTATGATTGGTCTGTTGGAACTGCAGCTATGATTGGTCTGTTGGAACTGCAACTATGATTGGTCTGTGGGAACTGCAGCTTTGATTGGTCTGTTGGAACTGCAGCTGTAATTTCTCTGTTGGAACTGCAGCTTTGATTGGTCTGTTGGAACTGCAGCTGTAATTTCTCTGTTGGAACTGCAGCTGTAATTTCTCTGTTGGAACTGCAGCTGTGATTGTTTTGATAAAACTGCAGCTGTGATTACTTTATGGAAATTTCGGTTACATAATTTTTTTTTTCTTAATGTCACTATACAAAAGTCACTATTGAAACATTCGGTGAATCCTATAAATCCTAAGAATGTTTATGTGAGTATTAAATGTGAAATCAATAAATCATGTGAGAGTATCTGTGAATTGATATTATCTGCATATTTGTCTTTGACTTTTTTTTTTAAAATTCACATTCCATTAAGATATTCAAAATTTTTACCAAATGTTGAAGAAAATTAAATTCACATTTTCTTTTTTTTTTTATATAGCAATAAAAAAAATACCCCAAGCTTTAGGTGAATCAACTCAAGACTTTTTGGTAGCCTCAGAAGTATGACACAAACTACAACACTGAGTAAATTATTATTAGTTAAAAAGTTGTCATTTTTTAGGAAGAACCTTCTTTTCTGTTACTTTTTGCTCATTTTGTTTTCTGTATCATTTTGGTGATGTCAAACAGCAATCTTTTTTTTTTTTTGTTGTACTCAACTTTCTGTAGGACACTGTAGGGATGGCGTTCACACTTTCACCTATCCCTTAGCAGTGGCATAGCTAGGATGGAGGGAGAGGGATCCCCAAACAAGTGTAAGAAATTTTGTTTTTACATTAACTACTACACCACTGCCATGTAATCTTGCTATTCATGTTGTTACATAAGTTAGTGACTCTGTTACATGTATTCCACACAGATTAACTCTTTCCATGCAGGGTTACTCTTAGGAAGTTACCTGTTCATAATAAATAACTCAGGTTACTCCTTGAGAGTAATAATAATAATAAAGCTTGTATCGAATGTCAAAATGCAGGGACCCCTAAAAGAGTCAAGCCCCGGGCCCCCAAATCCCTAGCTACGCCACTGTCCCTTAGTCTGTTGGGACACCATACAAGATTTGATAACTGTCTATCTCCTTTGCCTTGGAGAGAACCTCTTTCAATAGCATTCTTTTATGTTGTTTCCCATTGCTTTCTCTTCCTGCCTATTCTTCTTTTCCTGGTACTGTTCCCTGAAAGAACATCTTTGCGAGCCCTGAAGACCTTGTAAAATGGACATAGAGTTTTAGTTTCCATTTTTTTTACAATAGTTAGCAGGTAATCGTGGGGTCCAATTGCTGCAGTAACTCTTTCTCTAATGTCTTTGTTTGTGCTGCGGTCTTTCAATGTGATACCCAGGATCCTTCTGTAGCATCTCAATTCCATTGCTAGGATCCTCTTCTCTAGCTCTGCAGTCAGCGTCCAAAACTTGCAAGCATATAAGAATGTGGCCATGTCCAGGGAGTGCATCAGTCTGACTTTGGTCTTAAGGGCTGTTCAACATAAGGCAAGGGAAAGTAAGTCAATATTTTAAATAAACCCCTTTTCTAATGCAGTTTATTTTTTAATATATATTTCAATGAGGTCAATAGATTTCCTAACTAGTTCAATCCTTCCATTAAAGAGCCTACTTTTGGTACTTTCTGTTAGTCAAGGACTCAAAAACATAAATTGCTCTATTTAAACTTATTATCCAAAAGATTTCAATAGCTATGTATTTGTTCAGCACTGAAGTAGCCTATTAATTTATTCTAGTGTGTGCCATATAACCATTAAACATTTACTCTAAATTAACCACTGCACCTGAGCATTCACAAACATAAATCATTTACTGATTTGAACTGTAAGGACTAGAGTGTCCTCAATAACTGTGTCAGTTGTGGAATTTGTCAAACTTGAGCTCTGTAGCCAAGTGCCTTACCTCTTAGAATATAATATGTTATGAACTGTTTGGCAGCAAGTCCTAGCTTATTAAATATAAAAGTCATTTTACAGAAAACAACATTCCTTTCTAAAGGCTATATCATTATTTGCAATTGTTTACAAATAATCTTAACATCACTTAAGATAATCTTAACATCACTTGGTTAAGACTTGTGTCAATACTTTCTCTCTAAAACATAACAATTTTGGTTGTAAATTATTGTCTCAATCAACGTATCCTAAACTACTTGTAACATTGCTTTACAGCTACTTGTACCCTTGGAAATTAGAAGTACTTAGATAATCTTGACAGTTTAACTCTAGAAGTACTTAGAAAATCTTAACAGATTAACTCTAGAAGTACTTAGAAAATCTTAACAGATTAACTCTAGAAGTACTTAGAAAATCTTAACAGATTAACTCTAGAAGTACTTAGAAAATCTTAACAGATTAACTCTAGAAGTACTTAGAAAATCTTAACAGATTAACTCTAGAACTACTTAGAAATCTTAACATATTAACTCTAGAAGTACTTAGAAAATCTTAACATATTGACTCTAGAAGTACTTAGAAAATCTTAACTGATTAACTCTAATTGTGGTAGAATGTTGTGTTTATGGTAGTCTCTTAATTTTTTAAAAAATGTGATTTGAAGTTACCAGCATTTAAAAAAACACTTTTTGTATAAGAACTTTCTATCATTGCTTAGGAGTCTGACACGACTTTTTAAAACCAGAAATAGGATCTACTAGGCTAAGATCCCTCATTTTGAAAGGCCCGCCTTTGCTTTACCTAGCAGTATTATGTATTAATATACATAATCAAAACGAAAAGGGAGGTACACACAGAGATAACTGAAAAAGAATATATACTTTTTTTGTTCTTTTATATTTTATATATTATATTTTATATATTACATTTTATATTTTATATATTATATTTTATATTATATTTTCTTTTATATTTAAATTTATCATTAATTGAGACACATGCATGTTTTGATATGTTAATCATTCACCTTTAGAATAACTGGAAGTTCGACTCATATGTACAGTATTTGTTTTTTGTATCTTCAAAATTATGTCGAGCATGTTCATTGCTTATATGTTCATTGCTAACAGTGCTAATGGCTGACTAGGATGGTGCTTTGACATCCCAAGTGCCAAAACTCGTAGATATATGAACAGTAGGCTTTGCTTAACAAGTGCCATCATCATAACGTCATCACAATATCATAATATTTATGTATACTACAGAATGCACTAATTAGAACCAACTATTGGGAACCAGGATTTCATATTCATTTGCACTAAGGTCTTCTTTGTTTAAAGATTTAAGTCTATAAATGTTTTCCTTTTAAAATCCTTTCAAAATTTATTGTTTTGCAAAAAGCTTCCAAAAAGGGAATGGGTTTGTTCATTCCAGATGACCTTAAACATTTTTGTTGGTGGAGGTTCTATAATCTGAGTTGACATCAGGATGGTTTTAAGTAACTTTTTCTTTGTTGATGTTACTGCTTTAAGGGTTATTGTTGCCAACTTGTTCTTTTTCCAGTACTTAAAATATTATTAACTATTTACTTTATTTGAAATACAAATACATCATCTATATCTATTTATTGACTTAGTTATATATAATAATTAAATGTAGATCACAGCTGAGTGTACATAGTCACAGTGAAAAAGTGCACTTAATGGTCCAGCTCTGGACAATGGCTTATTTCATACATATTCATCTAGTCATACTTTTTTTTTTGAAAGCTGTTGGTCTTTGCCTACCTGCTTTTTTATATTAAAGGTAATTTTATCTAAAAATCAAAGTCGCAGTTTATATTATTAATACATTTTTACAAATCAAATTGTTATCAACATACTGAATGTACTATTTCATTATACTGTATGTACGATTTCAACAAATCTTTCATGCTAATAAAATTAATAAAAAAAAAATTATACTTTTTTTTTTGTATCACCCATGATTAAATGGCTGCCTGGTCATGCAGTCAGTATGTGTGCTGAACTGTTGTTTGGTTGTCTCAATAGTCCAGGGTCCATCTTATCTTATATAGGCCTAATACAGATGTTACCTTAAAAAAGAAGAAGATTACATCTACGCGTTATCTGGTCATGCATATTAATCTATTACTTAAATTCTGCCAAATCACTGGTTTTCCTGGCTGACTCAGGCAACCCATTCCATGCTCTAATAGTACTGGGGAAGAAGGAGTATTTGTACATTTGTTCATACCCTGCTCTAGTTTCCATCTCAAAAACTTCTTAGGTCTCCTCAAGCTGAAGATTCTAAACTTCTTTGGTCTCCTCAAGCTGAAGATTCAAAACTTCTTTGGTCTCCTCAAGCTGAAGATTCAAAACTTCTTTGGTCTCCTCAAGCTGAAGATTCAAAACTTCTTTGGTCTCCTCAAGCTGAAGATTCAAAACTTCTTTGGTCTCCTCAAGCTGAAGATTCAAAACTTCTTTAGTCTCCTCAAGCTGAAGATTCAAAACTTCTTTTGATCTTGGCCTCCTTTTTTTTTTTTCAAATTAATTTTGTAAAATACATGTAAATGATTAAAAAAAAAAACCATTTACAACAAAGTAATAAACCATCATGATTGAAATAGATAGATCTACTAATTCTCATGATAGTACTTCCAAAACCAAACTTTTCGTTTCCTTATAAAATGAAACATGAATATTAAAAGCATATTCATTTAAACCATTTTTTAAACAACCAAAGACACTTTGTGCTATTCAATAACCGTATGGGTGAAAGATTGCCTACAAAAGAAATTAATGAAAATCAAATTTTTACTCCTACAAAGTGCGCTTGAACTTGGCTTGTCTTGGATAACTACGAAGGGGGCTCGAGGTTCGACACCCGACTCGGGCAGAGTTGTGTTTACTGAGCGCCTAAAGGCAGCACGGAAAACCAACTCCTAGATACCCCCCCCCCCCCCCACTGGTCCACAAATGAGATTGGACCAAAGCGTTCTGAGCATGCTATAAGCATGAAAGTAGCGCTATATAAAAGCTATAATAATAATAATCATGACAATCGTGTTTCAACTGTTCTGTTAATTTTTTTTATGGCCCATGGTTAACGAGGATGTCATGTGGCCAGCACAACGACCAACCGCCTTTACTTTTCCCTAACTAATGTCAGGTACCCATTAGAGCTGCGTGGTCCTCTTTATAGGTCGCGTTCCTACATGTAATGCCTACTACTACATGTAATGCCAACACTCTAGATCAGTGATGGGCAAATCGCGGGCCAAGTCCGGCCCGCGAAGAAGCGTTATCTTGTCCGTTTTTCAATAATAATATAAAATAAAAAATTTATACACAATGGAAAAATTCAAGCCTTGAATATGTGTTGAAACAGTGAAATAAAATCGCTTAAAAAAAACTTCTCATTTGCAATAAAACCATATCGTTTATAGGCACTATATCCAGGTACTTCACTTTTAAACAAACAACATTTCTGTATTTATGTCCGACGACAAAAGAAAAAAAATAATCCGGAGATCTCCGAAACAAATTCGATTTATTACGCCAGCAAAATCCTTTTAACAAATTTTGCAAGTTATGTTGTTCTGTAATATCGACTTTGTTCAACACTATATGGTTCAAGTTTCCCAAGTTTTAAGTACTTTTTTAAGAAAAAAAGAATTTTTAGCTAGAAGTTTATTTAAAAAAAAAACAACAACCCTAAAACATCCAGAGTCGATTGAATAAATAAAATTGTCCATCACAGTTGACTTCAAAGATGAGTAACTGCAAGTCCTAGACGAATGTACTGAATGATACTGCATAATTAGTAGGCTCTATTATTTATAAGAAACACGTTCTGTTACTGAAGATATCAAGCTGCATGCGTTCCCTGTGAAAAATTAGTCTGCAGAAAGCGAAATATTTTAAAATTTATCATTTATAGCTCTCAGATTTCGCATTTAGACAGAACTATCGCTGTCACATGAACTATTGATAGTAAAATATACGGCAAAAATTCAATTTTATTCGCGATATCTTGAACCAACTTTTTATTTACAAATCAGCTAGCTAAAAAGAACGTGCCTCATTTATCTCATCGCGGGCAATCGTATTTGCTGGGGCAATAGGCCATCAACCAGCTTCCTCCAGGCATCTCGGTTCTGGGCGAGTCTGCTTCCAAATGCCGGCGCCATGTATTCCTTGGCCGTCCCCTCCTTCCTTGGGGGTTCCAGGTTAGGGCTTGCCTTGTTATGTTGGATGCAGGCTTGCGACTTGCCTCATTACATGTAAAGTCACTGGCTGTTGTGAAAGAAGACAGGATTAGGTATTATGAAGATGGCGAATTGAAATAGAGATTTAACAAGACTTCTATGCTGATGAAAAAGATGTTGATATTTTCAGAATGCCTTTTAGTGTGTACGGTAAAGTAATGAGCCTAGACTTGCAGCTTCAATAAATTGAACTTCAAACTAATTATCACCTCAAACAAATTATTTCTAAATATTCTAAAATAGAGTTCTTCAAGGGGCTTATCGAATTTCAAGTTTTCCAAATTAAATATCTGGTTCAAAGAATTTGTGCAATGTGTGAAACTTCATATATTTATGAGCAGTCTAGTAGACAAATTTGGGGCAGAAACAGGTTGACGATGAATAGCTTAGTTGACTCTAAAGAAAAACTATTTCCCTATTTGAACTGCTATCAAAATACTTGTAGCTTGAATTCATACAAAACATTAGCTAAATTTTGATAGCTTTAGATTTAATACACAATTTCTGTATTTTCTATATATATCAATAGGCCTATATTATATATATATATATATATATATATATATATATATATATATATATATATATATACATATATACATATACATATTATGGCCCAGCAAATTTTGAGTTCAGTTTTTCGGCCCGGTTTTAAAACGTTTGCCTATCAGTTGTCTAGATGAACTGTTGGTAGCGGTGACCCGACAAAATTGAGCGGACAAAATAGCGCCGATAAAAAAAAAAAAGAGGCGCCGACAAAATAGCGCGAAATTTCCCGACAAAATAGCGCGGACTTATATGTGATGTGTATAAAAGTACCGGAATATCAGTAATTTAATGTCCTGGGAAGCATTTTTGTTGACGTCTATCTTTTTTTTTTTCAATATTAATATCATTCCTCATTTTCACCAATGTTTAAAATGCATAACTTGCTAGAACCTTTGAAGTAGCCAACGTCATGGAAACATGTTTATCACAAAAGGCAAAGAAATAGCAGCATACGTACGTAGGACACAGGTACAGACAAGATGGACACAATTCTAATGGCTCCACATCCTGGCGTTGTCTGGAAAAAAATTGCGGCTACATACCGGAAAGATAAAAATGTACGCATGTTTGTCAAGATGCAGTTAGCCCTTATATTTGTTCCACCTGCCGATGTAAATACTGCCTTTGAAGGCCAGATGTTGTAGGGAAATTGTATGACTATTGAGAGGACAACTATATTGGTTGTCAGAGAAAGTTCGTGTGTGTATAAATCTGATAAGTATCTTTGCCCTTTTTCAAAGTACACTTTTGGAATGTAAATTAATGATATACTTTGTAATTATTCATTTTAGCTTATTATAATTTTTGCTTAGGCCTACTGTTTGCATATTTATGTTTTAGAATAGCTAAAGTGTTTCCTGCAAAATGGCTGAAAAATAATAACATTAAAACAAAAAAAATATTGGCTCTTTTCATATTTTTACGATATCGTCACTAAAGTATTTCTTTCAAAATGACTGAAAAATATTTTTTCTGCTCTATTTTGTTTGCGCTATTTTGTCGCGGTACCGTGGTAGCAACTAATTAACACACTGAACGAATCACGACTGGGACCTTGCATAAAACGCCGTCTGCTGACAGGCTCCCAGACCTCAAAGGGATATTGAGAGTTGAAAGAGTTGATAAAAGCTTCGTAAAAAATAACTTCACTCTTGGATGATTTACCCACCATCCTAACGCTTACTGCAACACGTCTGCTCGTGTACTGCTGATACATTATAATATCATCCGGCAGCCAACAACAATAACTCTATTTTTTTTCTTCTGCCATATCACATGACACGTGCTGCTATTTTTAACTTTCAAATTTCTTTACAACTGAATTCAGGTCGTCACAACAGTGTAAAGTTGAGATGTTTTGTTTACTCTGGCAGTCGTCTTACGTTTATTTACAAACGATCCACGTCCAGGTCACAGATTAGTGTAATCACTTCTCCCACGTCTGCTGATCTAACTAGCAACAACTAACAAGCTGCCTTTGTTTCGTGCCTATTTCCGTTCCTGATTTTCCCTCTTCTCGCCCTGCCAGTCTATTCCCAAACGACCGTCTGCCAATACAAACGACACGGGGAAATCTCCAACTGCAAAGGATCCATTACGGGAGTCCTCAGTGTCACGTTAAGTAGTCAAGTCTCCTGGGGAAACTCACTCCAGATTATTACTCACGATTATTTTTTAAAAAAACATTAAAATTGATAATATTAGAGCCATTTTTCTTTCTTTGCATCTTGGGAAGTGTTTAGATAATGCCTCGTTCTGATTTCAACGAAACAAACAAAAAATAAGTAATAAATATCAGCCAAAGCAACATCTCCATATATCTCTAGTACTTTAATACTTTACATTTATTACAATGGAAATAATTCATATTAAACTTTTTTGACTTATACATCATTGATCGAAGCTCTTAAATTCGTGAATTTGATTAAAAATGAGCTTACCTGCAAGCTATTTGTGTGGGAGGTTAATGAAAAGTGCGTCTTGAATTGTCGACGCAGCGGTCGAGGGTTTGAATCCTTCCTCCTGTCATTATCCAGTGTCCTGAATGCTTCAGTCTGTTGTAGAGACTGCGCAAAAAGCTAAATCTATTTGTGTAGTGTTGACACGAATCCTTTATATAAGGTTACGTCAGAAGTAGC